TTGACTATTCTCAAGAGAGGTATGGAAACGTCACCGACCATTTGGTGTTCGACTATATTGCAATACACGTAGAGGGAATACAAACTTCTAATGTCGGCAAGGTAGGGACTAGTGCGTCTTTCGTTTGTAATTGTTGTTCAGCCAATCCACCCATCAAGATTACACAAGCTCCTTCTTCGGCCGCCACGATCACTCTCCTTAACCTCGAATTATATGTCATCAGTATTTCATCTGGCAGACCTTTTTCTCGAATCGTGTCTAAAATCAATTCGATCGAGTTGTAGTAGCCCGGATTCAATTTCAGCTCTCCGTGATCTCTCAGATTGGGCGAGGCATCGTAAAAGATCCTATTTTCGTCATGTACGATGTTGTACCACGAATTTGAGTAGTGGATGTCGCCAATGTTACTTCCCAATTGCCATCTAACGAAAGTGTTCTCGGTAGTTTGACAGTGTATTTTGTCAAGGTGTTGTTCGGGAACACATCGAGTGAGGCATTACTAGGGAGCGTTAAAAAGAAATCCTGCCCCGACATGATGATCTTTGAAATGAATCGGGTCATTGTGTGTGTGAACGGTATTTATAAACGTTGCAAGTCCCCGATCCAAGAATTAAACGAATCATCATACCCATGTCACTTAACAAAATATTCCACACGGCCTTTACGTTTTCTCTTGCGCAGCACTTTCTCCACAATGTACAATACATCATCGTACTTTACTATTTTCTGAAGTTCTTCTTCGTAGAAAGTACCTTCCAACATTTCGCCATTGTAATCTGAAATTTTGTAAACAGGTGGTTGCGTGTTGTGACGTCCAACAATCGTGAATACCTCTTCAGTCCAATTGGGTAGGTATCCTTTCTTGAAAACGTGTTTGGTTTTACTGATTCTGAATCTGTCACCAAGTTTATAAATCTTCCTCTTCTTCCACCCCTTTTTCTCTGTGCTTAGATCACCGTACAATATGTCTCTGACCTTTTTTCTGGTTCGCGTAGGTAACAAGTAAGGGTTTGGTATTTATACTTCTGTGATGGGTATTGTTGTAAGAACGTACCATGTCATCTAATACAGGCAGATATGTCAACGTGTTGTTCTTCGTGAAATATCTGAATATTTTTCCCTTGATGGTTCTGTTGTATCTCTCCACAATGCTGGCTTTAGTCTCATTGTCTGTAGTAAAGAACTTAATGTCTTCGCTCTTGAGGTAGTTTTGAAAAAGTCTGTTGGTGAATTCAGTTCCTCTGTCTGTGTGCAAAACGTCGGGGCGACGCCCCTTCTCGAGTATTTTCCGAAATGCCTTGACCAAACTCGCCCCTCTCTTGTCTTTCAGAGGTACGACGAAAGCATATTTTAAAAAAACGTCGATACACGTCAATAAGAACTTGTATCCCCTGTTGTATCTGGATACAAGGAGGAGAGATCGCATAGATCAGCCTCCCACTGCTCGTCCACTTGGAAAACCACCACCCTCCTTATTTTAAAGGACCGTCTAGAGGGTTTGTGCAGAGTATATGTATCCTGTTTACTCAACCACTTCTTCACGTCTGATTTGGTTAACTTTTTTCCTCTCTTTTTTTTTTACGGCAGCGTAAAGGGAATTCAAACCCCCATAACTTCCAGGACTTTGGACATCGTAAAACAGTTCGTCTAGGACGGTGCCCATCTTCTTCATCATTATTTACGGGTGTGGTTATTTCACACGCGCAGAGGCAGTGGATACGTTCGATAAACGAAAGCAAAGCGGGACAGCGTGGATCCATCACGACCGACTGCACCAAAATGAGATCGAGGGGGTGCGACGAGGTTCTATTTAATACGTCACCCACGTGTGTCAAGGATGAATGGAAAGCACATGGGGTCCACGTCTCTGCGGAACTCTCCCCTTGAGTGTGTTGGTATGCATGTAAGACCACCGATCTGTATTGCCAACAAGGTCTTGAGGTACATTTGACATTTTCATAACTTCGGCAAATTCTCTCCAACCTGTGGGGGTGAAATTCTTCCTTTTACACAAGAAATCATTGACTAAATCGATGACGTGCGTGCCTGGCATGGATTGTCCATCAATGATTAATTCACCGTTTTCACCCCAGTCGACCCATTGGTTCTGTTTAACTTTCTGAAGTAGAAGCTTCGCTTTTCTCTGCATGCTCTTGGGAACACTTTGTAAGACTTCGGATGTAATTTGATCTGGCACACCGTCTTTGTCGGGTTGAGATTCCCGATCGACTACAGCGACAGAGCTGGGTAATTTCTGC